CTTTTCCTTCTTTCTTTCTTTCTTTCTTTCTTTCTTTCACTTTTCCTTTAAATTTCACTTTTTCATTAAATTATTCTTGTGTCGTCCTTCCTTTCTTATAAATGTTTCTTTATTTCTTTTTCTTCTTTCTTTCTTTCTTTCTTTCTTTCTTCACTTTTCCCTTCGTACTTTCATTACATTATTCTTGTCTTCCTTCCTCTCTTATAGATGTTTTGTTCTTTCTTTCTTTTCTTTGTTTCTTTTTCTTTGTTTGTTTGTTTCTTTCCGTAGAAATTCTTCTTCTTTGTAATAATTTCACGATTTCACTATTTTCAATATATCCCTTTACTTTGTTTCACTGATTCTCTCTTTCCTTACACCACTTCTTTCTTTCTTTCTTTCTTTCTTTCTTTCTTTCTTTCTTTCTTTCCGCACTTCAATATCTCCTTCCCTATTGTTTTGTCGAAACCGATCAAATCTTCCTCTTAATCTCCAATCTTATTTCTGCTTATCGCGAATATCCACGCGGAAACTTTTTTTACTTTCCGCATCTGCGTCTTTCCTCGTTTCGAAATGGAGTCGAGAAAAGAATTTTGACAAAAGCAACGAATTTTGACAACTGTAGATCCGTTCATGAATTTACTTCGATTGAATGCAAAAATCGCACCAGACAGCAACGCAAATTCACACAAAAGCAAAGAGCAGTACACATTTTCAAACGAACACACTAAGAAATTTTTCCCAGTAATTTTATTGATGAAACAACATTAACAAATATAATCATTATGCACTTATTCCTGTAAAACGAGCGTGCGCACAAATACACACGCGCGCGCACACACACACACATATATATGACTATTAACATTCATATCTACATGTTTACTTGTTTCATATTCAATTCAAATACAGAATCTGAACTGTTAGCTATACTTAAGAGAATATAGATACATACATACATACACACACACACACACACACACACACACACATATATATTAGATTATATATATATATTATATTATAAATAGGTAATCATACAAAGAATTAATTAGTAATATTAATTAATGGCGAAATTTCTTCGCTAACAGACTTAATAAGACATTAACTTACTATCAATTCCTTGTATAATACGATGCTTATATTTGCGTTGTTGTCAGATGAAATTGATGAGCCAAGTAATTTTGTGTTGTAGGGCGAGTACTTTCGAAAATTCCACATTTTCATCCTCAGGCTGCAATTTTTCCATTTACAACACCAGATCCATCTGACAACAATTTTTACTCATAAGGATCGCGTCATTCAATGAATTATTAGTAAGTTAATGCCTTATTAAGTGTGTTAGCGAAGATATTTCGCCATTAATTACATTAATATTACAAATTAATTCTTTGCATAAGTACCTCTTTATAATATATATATATATATATATATATATATATATATATATATATATATATATGAGATAACGATATATATTTTTTATTTATCAAGAATATTGGGGAAAAATGTATGACAAAATGGAAAAGTTTTCGTGTGAAGCGTTTCGTGCTCTAGATCTTTATCGGATTAAATTCGTTATGTTGGTGAGACTACACATGCGCACAAACGAGGGATGCTGGGTATTTAAATTTAAGAAAGAAATATAACAGATTTCAATTGGATTCTAAAAATTTAAATTCTTTAGAATCTAAATGAAATCGGCTAAATTTTAAAAGCAGAAAAATTTTAAATTCACAGCATTCCTCATACGTGTGCATGTGTAGTTACACCAATTTACTCCGATGAAGTCCAAAACTTTTCAATTTTTCATATATATATATATATATATATAATACAGAAGTAATTGTACAAAGAATTAATTAGCAATTGTTAATTTAACAAGACTTAATGAGATATTAAATTACTATATAATAAGATCCTTATATTTCAGCCAAGTACTTTCAACAATTTCAAATTGTCATCTTCGGGGAGCAATATTTCCGTATACAGGCAAACACTAAGACGAAAATAATATAACTGTTAATAAATAGCATACTTAAAAAAAAAAACATCTTTCGGCCTACACTTCATATATTCCATCTTAGTGTTTGCCTGTATATAGAAATATTAAGTCCCAAAGACGAAAATTTGAAATTATTGGAAGTGCTCGGCTCATCAGTTTCATCTCACAACAATTCAAGTATAAGGATCGTATTATACAAAGAACTGATAGTAAGTTAATGTCTCATTACGTCTTGTTAGCGAAGTGATTTCGCCACTAATCATATAAAAGTTGCTAATTCTTTTATAATTACTTCTTTATGAAATAATATATATGCTGCACACTCTAACACACACACACACACACACACACACACACACACACACACACACACACACACACACACACACATATATATATATATATATATATATTTATATTCAGGCAATTCACCCCAAGCAAGGTGGGAGTGCCACTAGGACACAAGGGGATACAGAAGATTGAGAACAAGAATAAAGAGGCATGTTTGAGGAAAGGATACAGAGAAGGACAGGGAGCAATCTCAGGGTGTCAAATGTCGATTGACATTACACTTGAATATTTGAAGATTATAATCATCAGGGAAGTGAGTAAGGGGAAGGGGGTTCCATAGATGGGAAGTGCGGAAGAAGAAGCTGTTTGAGAAGAAGAGACGGTTACATTTAACCGTTTGACAGTGAAAGGGTGGGACTGAGAGGCCAGCCTGGTACCTCGCTTAAATTCATGCAGTCCGGGAACCAGCGAAAGTAGCTCGTCGGAACAGTTGCCGTGAAAATATTTGTAGAAAAGACAGAGGGAGGTCACAGCACGTCTGTTGGATAGCTATGATAGACTAGATGCCAAATCAGGAACTATAATCTTGCATATTGTTCTCTGGATTTTGTCAAGGACCTCGAGACGTACAACGGGAACACCAGACCATATATGACAGCAATATTCCATGCAAGGACGGATGGTTGATTTATAGATTTGAAGGATGGACTCAGACGAGAAAAACTTCTGGCACGACACAGAGAGCCAACTTTTCTTGCGGTAGATGAAGCTATTGATTCAATGTAATTGTTCCACCTCATGTCAGTGGACAGCGTGAGGCCAATCAGGCGTAACGAGACGTTCTCGTGGAGTTGGAAATCAGCCATTCTGAAGGGAGGCAGGGAGGGTTCTCTGTGGTGGGAAAAGGAAAGTAGTTTCGTTTTGGAGGCATTAAAGTTTACAAGCCATTTCCTGCCCCCATCAACCACAGCTTGGAGGTCCTTTTCGAGATCAGCAACCAGGTTAGTTTTGTCAACGATACTAGTTTTACTATTGAGGCAGGAGTAAATAGTAGTATCATCCGCGTAGATGCCTACTTGGGAACTGATGACATCGGGAAGGTCATTGATGAAGATCAGGAACAGTGTAGGGCCCAAGACAGAGCCTTGAGGAACACCAGCGTTCACGATAAAGAAGCTGGAGGAGAACCCGTTTAAGACGACCTTCATTTCGCGGTTTGACAGGAATTATTTCATTAAGTCAAATAATCGTCCTGTAATACCATATCCCTGAATCTTACGAAGAAGGCCAGCATGCCAAATCCTATCAAACGCTTTAGTGATATCTAAAGCTACGACTCGGTCTTCTCCGTTATTGTTGAGTGCTTGGTATGCAAATTCAGTTATGGCCGTGAGCACGCCAGATCGGGCAAAGCGGAAACCATATTGCTTGTCGGAGAGCAGATTATGTGAAGTAAGGTGCTTAACTACTTTGGCGTTGATTAAAGCCCCGAAGACTTTGCCGAAGAGTGGTAGGAGACTGATAGGACGCTAGCTAGACAGGAGGTCAGAAGGGTCACCAGAGTTCTTAAAGACAGGCACAACATATGAGGACTTCCAACAGGCTGGAAAGCAGAAGTCGGTGAGGCAGTAGTTGCATAGTTTAGAGAGGACAGGAGCCAGTTCAACAGCACATTTCTTCAGGACAACAGCCGGCATCCCTTCCCCACCACTAGCCTTATGGGAGTCTAATTTATAGATGATGTCTAATACCCTCGTTGTGGTTACGTGCATCTCACTCAATAGAGCTTCAATTCTAGTGGGGAGGAGTCCAGTGTAGTACACCTGAAGAGTCTAGCGTTGAATTGGATGAAAACTTACGTGCAAAGCATTCAGCCTTATCAGCTGAGGAGGTCAACACCACAAATTGGTTGAATAAAGGGGTTATTGTGGGTTTTCCAGTTGTTCAGCACGCTTTTGCACAGCCGCCAATAATCTTTTGAGCCAAACTTTGCTTCATTGCTTGCACTCGTTACGAGCAGTGGCAAAGAGACATCTCTTGTAATCAGACATGTCTCTACGGTATAGTCGGAAATAGTGATTCCTGTGGGCAATAGCTGCTGCACAAGCAGCTGAAAACCAAGAGGATGAATGCGATTTAACTTTATATTTTCTTGTAGGGATGAAAGCCTCAATTCCAGCTTTTACCTCAGACGTACATTTTTGGACAGGGAAGTTAAAGACAGGGGACATCACAAAGGAAATCTCGGAACGAGTCCCAATCTGCTCGTTAATAACAGAAAGATGTTCTCTTGGTAGGAAGTTCTTTACTGGGAGAGGAGTAGAAAGGGATGAAAACAGACACGACGGTATGATCAGAGTTACCAAGAGGGCAGAGCTGCATGGCACGACAAGACTCGGGTATGGAGATCAAAAAGAGAAGTCTTACCATCATGGTTGCTGGGGAAAGGCGTAGGAAAGTCAACCACTTGTGTGAGAGATTGAGCGATTGAAAAGTTAAGTGTTTTTATGCCAGGAAGGTCAGTGTTTAAGCCATTTGGTATGATGGGCATTGAAGTCACTAAACACAGATATGTTTGCAGATGGATGTAGATAGATAACCTTGTCTATCTTATGGGAAATGCAATCAAGTGCAACACAGTTTTGGGAGGATGGAGAGCGATAGAGAAAGAAGAGATAGCTTATAGATTTGAGGAGAGATAGACGGAGACGCATGTATGAATAGTCTAGAGAGAGAGAGAGAGAGAGAGAGAGAGAGACAGAGACAGAGACAGAGACAGAGAGTTCCCTAACCAGTGGCAGATGGTCTCGATCGTCAACTCCCAGGGCATGCATCTGGGTAATAGAGTCCTTTCATAGGAGAGGAAGATAACCGAGAATCGAGAAGTCAGAGGAGAGGATTGACGGATTAAGATTGGTCACTCAGAGAACTGGTATGTCAGGAGACTTCTCAGCGATAAACACTTCCACACTGCAGAAAGAGTCCGAATGCCACGGATGTTGATGAAGGATATGTTTAAGGGTTTAGGTGATTTTTTTAGAGATGGTTTAGGTTTTTTAATTTGATTGTTTGTAGTCATGATGGGTAATGTTGGTAGTGAAAGTGAAAGGGCCTAAAGTAATTGTAGCTGAATGGTAATCGTATATAACATGGGCAGAGAGGAGCTCGCACAGCCTGCAACATAGTGTGGCCTTGGGTTTGCCCACCGGAGGGGCGTGTAGGAACACCCTTCCATGCGCGACATGGCACTACAGGCACCCCGATATGCAACTGTTGATCAGAGCAGCCGCTCAAGAGGCTATGCAAGAGTTAGGGCTGCTAACTACCAGTCGGGAACAGCAACCAAAAAACTGTCAACCCGGTACCCTCAGTATGAAGAGACGTTGCCAAAGACTGCATATTACAAGGGATTCACAACAACAATAATATAGAGGCCAGAGAAAAAGAAAATATCCGGGAATCCATTCCTAAACAGGAAACAAGGAATGAGTCTCTATAACTGTTCAAGAAAAAGGGGGAGGAGTGAATACCGGGCGATAGGTAGGCCTATCTACTCCTATTACATACATGCAGAAAAAAAAGTGGATGTATAAAGTTTTTACTTAGTTTAAGTGCAAACATACACTTTGTAGGAAGGGAAGAAGGACTAAGCCACAACATGGCCGATGTACACGGTTGAGTTAACTGTCCGATACTAGCATAGTTACTTTGAGGAATTCATATTCCAACAAAGAACGCCAAATAGAGACTGAAATGAATGACGGGCTAAGATTCGCATCGGCATCAAAGAACATTATTCTAAATTCAAAGAATTAGTAACAGTAAACGAAAATAAAGAAATAAATTGAATTAATTAAATTAGTAAATAAACGAGTAAGTTATTTAAGGTATTAGAAACACAGTGAGGTGTAAACGAGCTCTATTAGCTATAGTTTTATATATTTTATATATATATATATATATATATATATATATATATATATATATATATATATATATATATATCCGAATGTAATGAAAAACGAAAATAATAAAAATTCTAACGCTCACAGCATTAATTCAAAAGAGTGTTCAATACCGATAGTAGAGCAATAATTATTTATTATAATTTTTTCATATAGACCAAAAACAATTTACTCAGCACAAAGATGCAAAAAGTAAATTGGTTTTGTCTATATGGAAAAATTATAATATATACATACGTCTGGCAATTGCGTCTATCATAAAACAGACTGTTACCTCTAAGTGTTGACTTCAATGTTCACTTTTATATTTACACACGCTCTATCTCTGATATTGAGCACTTTATCCCATAAATATACCACACCGTAAGAGTATATTTCTTCATAATATATGGACACACACACACACACACACACACACACACACACACACACATATATATATATATATATTAAATTAGTTCCATTTTTTAATTTAATTACAAAATTAAATTCGAAGTTTTTAGCTTCCATTTTGAAACATGGTTAGAACTGTGTAGCGAAAAAAATCATATTTTAAATCAGCTAATTTATAATATTAATGCTCTGTAAATTTACATTGAGGACTATTTTGTAAAAATAAAAAATATCTATAAGAACACTGGATTATATATCTTACTGTTCTTTCTTTTTATTTATATATACGTGCATATATATATATATATATATATATATATATATATATATATATATATATATATATATATATATATATGTGTGTGTGTGTGTGTGTGTGCGCATTGGCGCAATTTTTAAGAAATCGTTAAAAAGTAATACGTCTCGGAAACGCTCTTAAAAAGACCCACCTTGTCTTAAAAAGATACTAAGCATGAAACAAATACGTAAATACTAAATAAAACATTTTTAAATGTATATTGAAAAGCGTATTTTAAAGAATTTCAGATAGACGATTCCTATATACGCAACAAAAGGAAGAATAAAGATACTATGCAAGAGTATTACTAGGCAATAGTACTGCAATGTTATTAAGGATAGTACCAAGCTTTCCTTTACGTAGCGTCGTTTTAAAAAATACCACTCGATGTATTGGAAGGTAACTTGTAATAATTCAACTTATATAGAATTATATACGAAACTAAACAACTGTAATCTATCCTATATAATTGCCACATCCGCCAATATGATGTAAGGGAGTTGAAATTTATGTAAATATTTATTTAAAGATTTTAACGATTTAGACTTAAAATGTAAATTAAAATAGATTTCAAAAACTTAATTCAGAAATTTAATTAAATGACAAGAAAATGTAATTAATGATCGAAATACAATTTTATGATCCAACCTTTTACGGCACGAATAAATCAAAATTGAATTATTTTTGCTGGGGTTTAATTTAATTTCAGTGAAAAGAGTGAAAGACGGATAATGGAGGAAAGAAGAGAAATAAAAGACAATTTGTTGAAAAAGAAGTATGACTAAAAGCAAAATATAGACGAGGAAGACGAACAAATGGAAAAGGAAAAGAAAAAAAAACAAGAGAAAAGAAATGTGAAAGTGAGAGAAAAAGGGAAGAAAGAAAAAGAAAAAGAAGAAAAATCTATTAGCAAGAAAAAAATATTAACTGAAAGAAAAAGGCAAAAAACAAAAGTAGATGAGTGAGAGGGAAATAATCGATAGAAAGTGATGATGAGAAAGAAAGTGTTTATGACGATGAGAGAGAAGGGAAGTGAAGAGAAGGAGATGATGGGAAAGAAGAGAGAAAAAGAATTGATGAGAGAAAAAGAAAGAGAAAGAAAAAGATGGCAGCAGAAAAGATAGAATAGAAAAGGAGAAGAAAATGAAAATGTGAAAAGAGACGACGATGATGATGACGACGATGATGATGACGATGATGACGACGATGATGACGATGATGATGACGATGATGATGACTATGTGAATGACGATGATGATGATGATGACTACGAGTATGACGATGATGATGATGATGATGATGATGACGACGACGATGACTAAGAAGGCGACAGCAAATGTCGATGATGATGATGATGATGATGATGATGTTAGGCGACCAAAAAGATAAAAACGAAAGATGCATGGAAATATTCGGAGAAGTGGAGTAGAAAACAATTTTGGTTTCATTATTGGAGGAGATCTTCCGAATGTTCGAAATGGCAATGATCTGGAGAGCCATGAAGTGGGTGTCATTCGCACACATGTCATGGTGGCTGTGATTAACGCCAAAATCAAATGGAAGTTTTTGAATAACCGGAAAGGAGAGAGAAAAAAAAATCAAGAAAAAATATTAACGATTTTTTCGTCTCACTCTGGATTATAACGCAACCCATAATTTCACACCCTAACACACATACATACACACACACACACACACAGAAAGAGAGAGAGAGAGAGAGAAGTGAAAGAGAGAGACAGAGAGACAAGCAGACAGAGAGAGAGAAAGAGAGACAGAGAGAACGCGAGAGAGAGACAGAGAGAGAGGAACAGACAAACAGAGAGAGAGCGAGAGAGAGAAAGAGAGACAGTCAGAGAGAGTAAGAGAGAGCAAGAGAGAAACACAGAGAGAAAGAGACAGAGACAGATAGAGCGAAAGAGAGACAGAAAGAGAACGAGAGAGACAGACAGAGAGAGCGAGCGTGAGAGAGACAGAGAGAGAGAGAGCAAAATATGAAATCATAAGAATCTTACGATTAGCAAAAGAAAAAATTTACTTTAACCTTGTCTAATAAATACAACTGTACTGAGGTAAGTAATAGATATCCACAAAGATTCCCGTTGTGCAAGTATTCACTAAGCTTATATTAGTTTGGTAAAAGGCTAAAAAAATGAGTGAGAAATGATCAAACTACACACTAGTGACAATTTCATTATTTATAATAATCAATATTTCATTGAATACGACAGACAAGGTGCTTTTATTTAGTTTTTTATACAATTTCTCATGCGATCTAAAAAAAGAAATTATTAGATCGCATGAGAAATTGTATAAAAAACTAAATAAAAGCACCTTGTCTGTCGTATTCACTGAAATGTGCATGAAAGAAGGATTGTTGCATAAATACACATATTTTAAATTGCATGACATGGCAGCCAAAAAGCGACACTATAACTTTTAAGAAAAATCTTGTTTTACGACAAACAACGAAGCCCAACATATAACCAATGAAATCCAAACACATATTGCAGTACTAAAAAAACTCTTTAACTGACGCTGAATATAATGAAGCACAGTACCACATCAACATAAGTATTAATAATGATGAACTTGACCAATGACAAATAATTACAAAAAAAGGTGTGCAACTTATACAAAGGAAATATTCTACTTCCCAACAACTATGATAAATACATAAACCTATCAACTCACATATTAACGGATGATCAAAAGGAATTTCTAAATCTAGGACCAAATTGCTATCTCCAACCTAAATTTGACCTTCTCACAAAGAAGACTGAAATTGAAATCGTACATCAAACAGGAAACTGGAAAAGGACAAATTGATAATACTCCATGCAAACCTCAAAGATCTTCTCAAGGTAGGAGGTCTAAAAGATTATATTTCACAAACAAGAACATTCCAACAAAACTCAAAATTGCTGCTAAAGAATTAAAAAACAACCCTAATATAGTTATCAGAAAATCTGATAAAACCAATATTTACGTAATTTTGGATAAATTGGATTATCAGAAAAAACTTCAGCACCTCAGTGATGATCGTTCTAAATTTATTAAATTGAATAAGAACACCACGGAAACTCTAAAGAAATATGTTAATAAACTCATAATATCCAACAATGGTGTTGCAGGATCCCTAAAAATAAACAAAATTAAAAGAGATTACCAACCTGTATACTTATATGGTAATGTTAGAATACACAAACGACCTATCATTTCTCAGATTCCAACATGCATATACCGACTATCAAAATGTCCTCAATGATATTATTACCCCAAATCTCCCTACTAATTATAACATTAAAATATCAATGAATTCTTCCAAATACTTAAAAGCACAAAAGTAAAAACAAACCAAGACATTCTTGTGTCACTTGATGTAGAGAATTTATTTACAAACGTTCCCGTCTCCGAAACTATTGATATTATCATTAATTCGGTGCATAAAAACAATTTAATTCCACCTCCATCAATCTAACCCAATATTTAAAGAAAAGTATTGCTCGCTTGCACCACTAGAATTCCTTTTTATAGCCAGAATGGTACTATTTACACACAAACTGATGGAGTAAGTATGGGAAAAACCTCTCAGGCCGTGCTTCTCCAATTATTATATGTCCTATGTTGAAAACAAGATTTTTACTAAAGTTATTAAACCTAAAATATATATTCGTTATGTAGACGATATATTTATTTTAACTGAAAACAAGAAAAAAATAGAAAATCTGAAAGCTACATTTCAACAAAATTCCGTCCTAAATTTTACTTACGAACTTAGTGAAAAAAATAAACTTCCTTTCTTAGATGTTCTCGTCGATTTTAGTAATAATACTTTTAAAACTTTTGTTTATAAAAAAAACAACTAGTAAAGACTCTTGCCAACTTAATTTCTCTAATGAATGCCCTCTTAGATATAAAATAGGTGTTATTAAAAATTTCCCCACGAGAGCGCACGAGAATTCATCCTCTCGTACGCTTTTCTTTAACGTATTAAATAATGTAAAACAAACGCTGATTAATGACGGATTTCCTAATTAATTGTTGGATTTCTACATTAGGCGTTTTCTGTCTAAGGTAGCTAATAGCAACGACGAGAATAGAAACATAAACAATAACATTAATATTTTTTATAAAAATCAAATGAACGAAAATTATAAATAAGACGAAAGTAGAATTAAGAACATAAAAAATGCATAACACCAGTTGACAATAAAAGAAAAATTAGATTAATTATTTATTATAAAAAATTTAAAAACTCTAACATTATAGTTAAAAATAATAATAATTCACCTTTTAGAACAAAATTAAATAGGGAAAATAATATTTACGAATTTAAATGCCCATTAAAGAATTATATTTCTGATCAATCCAAATTCGTAAATAATTATATAGGCCACACTACAACATGTTTGACACGCAGACTCACTCTACATCTTTCTGACCATAGCTCAATTAGATCTCATTTAAATATTCATGGAGATCTACCGGACACTATTCGTGACATACTTGTTGACAACACAAATATAATAGCATCATCTACATGCAAAAAAAGAAGGCTAAAAATAATGGAAGCCTTATTAATAAAAAAAAACAACAACGCAAAAATATTAACTTTGAACATGGCCACAATATCTTGACCGTGTTTTGAAAGATCTAAATATTTTATAAAACATACATGCAACAAACTATTTGTTATTTAACAGTTAAAATATTTAATCCTTGAAAATGGCTAAATGTATAGCCGAAAGCGCTCGGATAAGAAGAACATTCGGACAGTTTTTATATAATTTATCATCTAAAAAGAAAAACATATTAGATCGCATGAGAAATTGTATAAAAAAATAAATAAAAGCACCTTGTCTGTCGTATTCAATGAAATGAATATATATATATATATATATATATATATATATATATATATATATATATATATATATATATATATATATGATAAGTTGTATGGATATGAGTTTGTGACCCTGGGTTTCACGCTTTTGCGATCATCAAAGTTAGTTTATTTTTTTAAAAATTGGATGTATTTATGCTTGTTTGATTATGTTTGGTAGTGGGACAAAGGATCTGCTTCAGTGTTTGTTTGGGCTGACACTATCATACGCATAGACACATACATGCAGGTGTACGCATTTTAGTTCACAAAACACATTCACGTAAGCAATTCGAGGCTAGGCGCAGATACATGTCCGTGCGTTCTGGCAGACATACATACGCAGTTGTAATTCTATATCAATCTCGGGATCTTAGTTTGTTATATATGCTGGTAGCGTAAAATGGAATCTACTTGCCGAGTTCAAATCATACCTCAGACCGCTTACATTCACTTTTGCACTGATGCCGTTGCAAAAGTCATGAATCTATCTGCCTCTAATTATGGGGCTAACATGTCGAGACTGTACTCTGGTACTTAGGGTGTCGGCTAGAAAGCTCTGAATTCCATCGGATGTGGTGTCGCGAAGCATGAGAATGGCAGTCCTTGTATTGAAGTTTGTTCTGGCTACTGATCAAATACAAGCCATCTTGAATCTCACCTAACCCTCAGATATGGGATGCTGAATCGTGAAGGTGGGGACTGAATCTAGGCCACTTTTTACGTAAAAATCCACGAGGACTTTTTGTAAAATACATCTATTGGATGCTTTAGTACAGTGATGTTTGTAGCCAAGGTTCATTAGGGGTTTCAGGTCTTTCAACATCATAGCTCCTCTCCACGGTGGCCCTGCCGATACTGATTAGGTATCGACTTGTGAACCTTCCGTTAGCTACAATTTTGTTCAATCTTCCCAACTACTACCATGCGACTCCTCTTGGCAGTTTATTGTCCAATCCCGGATGACTTCCGGTTCACCTTCAATGTGCGCTCTTCCATAAAAAAGGAAGCAAACGCAGCCACTATCTGGTAAGGAACATGGCGGCGTGCTTGACTTGAGTGGTAAATATCGATTTGAATACTCTCACTGATGCATATACACATGCATGCATACACAGAAAAACGCGCTGAATTGAAACTACAATTTCTGAGGTTTAGTTGAATAGTGAAATTTTATAGAAATCTAAATAATGAGAATGGCCGTCAACCTGCTTCTTTATAAATAAAAGAAGCTGAAGAAATATGCACCAATTCTTGAAATCAAATTAGTCGCAAGCAGCAGACCAAGCGAAGATATTAACACAAATGTCAGAAATCAAAAAGTGAAATATATCCATGTGTGGTTTAAAGAATAATACATGAAAACAGAAATTTTTGCGATGATGACCATGTTCAGTAGAAGATAAAAAGGTTCAGGTGGAAATTGACAGTTGGGCCATGAGAAAACAAACATACATAGGCACCGAATTAAGGGAGAAGGATATAAACCCTAAAAGCAAGATTTGACTACTTACATTATTTACATTTTTCGGACTATTATCTTCATCTCCATTGCCATATTCGCAACGTTTCGTCCGTTGTACACTCCGGCCTTTTCCAGGTGATTTGATCTCTGAGATGAGGTATTATGATTACTTGTATTATTTACATTATTCGGACTCTTATCCTCGTCTTCATTGCCATGTTCGCAACGTTTCGGTCGTTATACGGTTCGGCCTTCTTCAGGTGATTTTATCTGTGAGATGAGGTATTATGATTACTTGTATTATTTACATTATTTGGACTGTTATCTTTATCTTCATTGCCATATTCACAACATTTCGGCCGTTGGAATTTCAAATTTTGGGGCAGATCGTTCTAATTCCACGTGTCATGCCTCTTACGGATGTCTTAGATATTTCCTTTTAACTCAAATCTTCTAGTTCGGTTCATCAATGCTGTGGTTTGGTATTGAACCCACAACTCTTTGGGCCTAGTCACTAAATCTAACCAACGTCTGGGTCATATGTCCTTGAGGACATCTGTGTATGAATTTTTGGGACTGAAGATGAGGATAGCAGTCCGAATAATGTAAATAATGTAAGTAATCATGGTACCTCAGCTCAGAGATATAGGC